AAAAATTTACGTAAATTTAATAGTAAATCCAATTTAGGTTATGAGTAAATCCAATGTAGGTTATTAGTAAATCCAATTTAGGTTATTAGTAAATTTTTTAGGTTATGAGTAAATTTTTGCGAGCATGATTTTGAAGCAGAAAATGTCTCTATTTATGTGAGTTGGCTTTCTCCAAAGAGGCAGGTTTTCTACAGGACAACATGTACTTGAGGATATTTGCGCTATGGATTTTTGTTTTTGTTGACTGAGCATGCCAGGAGGTGTGGACTTTGCCTTTACTTGAAGGGATTGCATTTACTTGAGCATGTGTACCCTTCTTGACTTGAACAAAACATTTTTACTTGAGGGTGTCTACTTGAGGGAGTAAATTTACTTGAGGATATGTACTTTTCTTCACTTTAGGAAGAAGAGCATTCTCTGATTCTCTGATGGTTTTTGCCAGTGTGAGGGTGCATGTTTTATGTGAGAGATCTTTTGGCTCTGTGAGAAGAAGAAAAAGAAGAAGAACAAGAGACACCTCAGCAAGAAGGAAACAAGCAGTGAAAGCGCAAAGCTGACAAGATTCTTGGACTGAACTTTAAACAAGTTTGCTTGTTGAAAATTAATTGTTCAAGTTTGTATTAACTGCAGCAAATGAACAAGAGTTATGTCAATGTTGGCTTGAAACCATTGTCAGGAGGCGTGACCGCATCAATGCCATGATGGACTTGATGAGGACGCTGCAAGATGACAGCAGTTCATCTCTGGAATCCTTGGAGTGAAAAAGACACAAGCAGCCTTTGGGGTAGAGTTGAGGGCACGCATTGTGACATGATGTTGAGAAGCTGTTACATGAAGAAGATCTGACTTTACTTGAGAAGCTTTTACATGAGGGTGTGACTTTACCTGTTGAGCTTTTACTTGAGGATGTGATTTCACTTGAGCATGGCACACTTTACTTGAGCATGGCAGACTTTACTTGAGCATGGCACACTTTACTTGAGCATGGCAGACATTACTTGAGGATGGTTTTACTTGAGTGTATTTTACTTCAGTGGTTGAGACTTTGTGTAAGTATACTTTACATGAGGACGCCATTCAACTTGGAATTGTGTGCTTAGTCTTGTTTAGTTTTGTTGTGAGTTGAAGTGTATTTGATATGTATTTATGAAATTTAGTTCAAAAAACTAGAAATTTAAGAGAAAATATTGATGAATTCTTGATGAACTTTTGATGCACTTTTGATGCACTTCTGATGTACTTTTGATGTACTTTTCAAAAGTGTATACACTTTAGAAGTGCATCAAAAGTGCATCAAAAATTCATACAATTTTTTGACAGATTTTATGAAAAGCTATGATATTCTGCATCATATTGTCAGCAAAAAGATATCTAGCATTCTTGCGGGTTTATCCTTTACCTGAGAATGTAATGCTTTTGCACAAAGAGTTGATCAGCATTGTATGTTGTTCAATTTGAAGTTGGCTTATCCTTTACCTGAGAAAGCAAAGCTTTTGCACAAAGAGTTGATCAGCATTGTATGTTGTTCAAATTGAAGTTGGTTTATCCTTTACCTGAGAAGGTAATGCTTTTGCACAAAGAGTTGATCAGCATTGTATGTTGTTCAAATTGAAGTTGTTGAGAGTTTACTGCACAGCTGGCTTATTGGTTGTTGTTTACTTTTGCAGCTAGATTGGTCTCAAAGAGCTTTGAGAGGTTTGAAAGATAGGCGCAGTAGCTTGTTGGCATTGGCATGGCAGAGGAAGAGATCCCCATGGGCCAAGTCACTCCTGAGGAGAAGGACGATGGTGTAGTTGAAGAGCCCAGTACACCTGTGAAGCAAAGGCCAGCTTCCAAAGCAAAGACCCCAAAATCCAAGAGCCCAAAAGCAAAGAGCCCTAAAGGGAAGAAGCCCAAAGCAAAAGGAAAGAGCAAGCCAAAGCCAAAGCCAAAGGCAGGCTCTTTAAAAAGGCCTGCTGCCAGTGGAGAAACCGTACAGCCAAAGAAGAAGCCAGCAGCTCATGGCTGGGCAGCAGGGTTGCAGGAGGATCAGGAGGAGGAAGCACTAGAAGTTGAAGAGGATGAACCAAGAGAATGTCGAGGAGGAGGAGGAGGAGGAGCAGGACAATGCAGACTTCTTCGAGTGCGATGAGGCCAAGAAGGACAGGTCGAAGGACAACAAGTTCAAGGCCTTGTTGTCTGAGGGCTCTCTGCCAGACTATGTTGTGCAGGCTTGGAAGAAGACCTTGAGCATGAAGAAGGGACGCACAGAAGAACAGCGCAAGATAGTGAACCAAGTCCTGGACAGGACAAAGGATGGAAAGCTCATGGTGCTTATACCCAAGATATTTTTCTTGTGCTTGTCTTTCCTGCGTGCTTATACCTGAGTGTGTGTGCTTGTGGTTTTATCCAAGTGTCTCTACTTGTGGCTATATGTTTTACAAATTACTTTCTTCAAAAGATGTGTTTTAGATGCAGTTTTGAATATTTGCAAATCAAAACGTAATGAAAAAATAGGAAAACCCTTAGTGAAGACCAACCTAAATAAATTTAGGTTGTACCTAAATCAAATTTACATTTACTAACCCATTTACACTTTTTGCCACCTAAATTCATCAATTTACGTAAATCCAATGAAAATGTAAATTTACTAATTTCGGTGACTTAGGGTCCTGTTCTTCTTCTGTGTTGTGGGTCGTGGCGATTGCGGTTGCGGTTGTTGTCGTTGCTGTTGGTTCTCGTTGCTGTTGTTGTGGATCCGAACTCGAACTCGAACTGGTCCACCCCCCCTTATAAGTCTCTTAGTCGCCGATCCGAACCCGAACTCGAACTCGAGCCCGTCCACCCCCCCGGGTCGATAATTGTGTTGTCGATCCGAACTCGAACTCGAACTCGAACTCGTCCACCCCCCCTGGCTCGATAATTGTGTGTCGATCCGAACTCGAACTCGAACTCGAACCGGTCCACCCCCCCGCGGCTCGATAATTGTGTGTCGATCCGAACTCGATCTCGAACTCGAACTCGAACTGGTCCACCCCCCTCTCGCTCGATCCACGCAATCTCGCGCATCGAACTCGAACTTGAACTCGAACTCGAACGGGATCAGTTAGAACATGTTAGAACTAGCTGGGGCACGGCCTGTACGCCTTGGTACAGGCAGTGCTTCGGGATCCTGAAGTAGGACCATGTAGACCACCAAAGGACATCTTTTGATTTGTGATCTTCCACCAAAGATGCTTTCACCTGAGAAAACGATAAGAGTAGAAACACGATAACATGGTTTCGCGAGGTCTTGCAAAAGACACGGGGTTTTTACAACACCCCACCTTGTGTTTCGGATTTTTGTGTTTGCTCTTCGCGAATGTTTTTTTGCCAATGTTTGCCAATAATATCATCATATATCATCCAAGAACCTTAATTATCGACATGTGTCCGCGTCATCTACATCTCTTTTCTCACGTTTTTCTCATCGTGCATGTCAGGGCATCTTTGACCTCCGGGTGGGGGGTTGGGGGGGGTTGGGCGGGGGGTTAATGACGACGCTCCGTGAGTCCAACGCCGTCGGCATCTTTACATCATGCATTTTGTTGCATCGTGCGCCTCGTTGTGCCAAATGCTCGTCGCTCGTGTTCTTTTTACTACGTGTTTTTTCCTTTTCGTGAAGGGCTACGATGGTTTGCTCCTGTCGATGGTTCAAGGTTTCTTTCCTTTTGGCGGGCAGCATGGCTGCCCTAAGTGGTTGCGGCGCTGTTTGCCTAGTGTACATCTTGTAGAGGTTTTACACGTAGATCTTTTAGATCAACACTTACCTTTTCTTTGTAGTGGACTAAGTTTGAACACTCATTGTAGACGAGTCCCGTCACTGGATGTGAACACTGGTTCCATAGATGGGTTTCGGGCTCGTGCGAAGACGGCAATTCCCACCTCCATGCACACGCTAACCAATTGGTGAAGTCAACCCGCAAATCTTCAAGTTTTTGCAAAGGTGCTGTTGGAGGTGGGAAAACACAGGCAAACTTTTTTTTTGCAGGACACGCCGTTTCAAACATTGTTGGACGCTGACTGAAGAAGCTGTCCGACAATTATGCTTGACTCGAGTTGTTCAAACCTTCGTTTCGCTGTAGCGAAATAGCAGAATGCCCTTGAATCCTTCAAGCAAAGAACAAGTTTAAAGGATGAATTTGGATGAACATGTGTATTTCGCTGCAGCGAAACGCGAATTTGACGTGAAACACAGCACATTTGAGTTGAGACGCGCAAGGCTCTTTGTTTCGGAAGTCAATTGTTCCGAAACGCATGTTTTCAGACCTTTTTGAACCCAGTTAAAGGTTGACGACACAAGCAACGCAAAATCGTAGGTCAGCACGGCGGGTTGTTTTTGTAGCTAGTAGGCGAGATCTTGGACTGTCCAAATGCTGGGAAAAACGCATTGATCATACAGTCTGTTGTACAGTCATAAGCCATGCAGTAAGCACCACTGTATCTTTTCTTTTACGCATAGACTGACTCCTTTCGGAGGCAAGTGAGGGATGTACTTCTTTGTGATTGTGGGTCAGAAGAGAAACGTTTCAGCTGACATTGTTGGGTGGACGAATGACATCCAATGAACTAAAATTCAATTCTGAGGTTCCAACAAGTTCCAACCTGCATTTGCCCCTCCCTCCTTCTTTAGGCCTGGCCAATTGGGGCGAACGATGCCTCGAGTGGTGAATTTCACCATTTGGCCGGGAACTCAGCTGGTCGTGACCACGGATAGCATCAAAGTGACACATGAGGGGTCAGTTGAATGGATATGTCAACGGGATAAGGCTCATCAGATGAAAACACAACTGTTTGGGATCAATTACCAAGACAATTCTGTTATTGCTGCATGTCACTGCTCAAGGAATTATTCCCCCAGACCTGATGTGTCTCCCGCAAACAATGCCAGCCTATTACTAGACCCCACAACTGCTAAAGAAACACCTTCAACTCCAAGACACGTATGACCTCATAATAAGTAAATAGTAAGACGTGCAAACTCACCGAAGGTGATCGCATCTTATTTATGCAGACTTTGGCTCTGAGAGGGAGTGGTGGGTTCCGTCATTCATTTGACGGTGCTTGCTGCTAGGGGGGAAGCCGGTAGCTAGTTGTTTTGATTATGCCATGGATGTCAGTGATCTTGAAGAGTCTGAGCCTTTCCCGCCGGCACCTCCAGAATCATTTGATGCAGCTCCGATTGATCCTGTGACAAGTCCTTTGAGTGGTGCACAATTCGGGGATCTAGTGAGATCAGCTGCAGTTGACACAGGGCCATCGTCTTCAGACATGAAACAGCCATGGGAAAGTGGGTTGATGAAACTTATTTTTGGCAAAGATGATTTCATTCCCAGCTTGCCTGAAGTGCAGGCCCATCCAATGCCCGTCCAGGAACCCGTGACTTCGACTTCTTTGAGTCCAAGCTGTGTTGAGCCCAGTGTCTCTGGGCCCAAAGCTGACTCAGTCTTCCTTAAGTGCATCAGGAAGATTGCGGATGTTGACTATTGGACCAAGCAAAGAATCCATGAAGAAAGCTGCAATCAATAAGTTTGCAAACCTGATCTCCATGAACCCCGTTGCATTTTATATTGGGAAGGTTGTGCAAGCGGAGTCTTGTTTCTACGACTTCACCGAGAAATTAGTTGAGAACCTCGAAGTGATCTTTGGCTTGAAGTCTGCTGCAATTTTGAACAAAAGAGCAAACGCGCTCTTTCTGTATGTGAAGGCCTCGGTCGACCAAAACAAATCCCCCTTTCCAATTCGTGAAGCTGATGTAGCCAGTTATTTCTTCCAGCTGAGAGGAGAAGGGAACTTCACGTCTAGAGCCTCCACTTTTCGTGAGTCTTGGAGGTTTTGCCATTACACCCTAGGCCTCGAAGGCGCCTTGGAGGCTTGCAACAGTGCGAGAGTGAAAGGAGCATCTGATTCGATGTTGGCCGAAAAGAAAACATGGCACCCAGCTGACCCTTTCACTGTCGAAGAAGCGCAAACTTTTCACCGGCATATGGACGACGCTTCGGCTTCGATTTTTGACAGGTTGGCATCAGGTAGAGTTTTGGCCATGATCTATGGCCGTTGCAGAGCCTCTGACCTCAATGCCATTGAGACAGTTCACCAAGATTTCGACGCCAATTGCGGATATCTGGAACTTGGTACGACCACTCACAAGACTGCCAAGAAAGCTCGCTTGAAGACAAAGTTGCTTCCGATCGTCATTCCGGCTTTCGGCGTCACAGGTGATTGCTGGGCCAAAAAGTTCATGGCCATAAGGGCAGCTGCTGGCATAGGGCCTCATGCGTCCAGGACTCCGTTGACACCAGCCCCAATGATTTCCAAAGTTGGGACGGTGGATTGGTCAACGAGGCCGCTTGACTCCGGAGAGATCACGGAGTTCATCAGACGGGTGTTGAACCCTTCTGAGAGTAGCTGCAGAAAGCTGTCTTCGCATTCCTGCAAAGCAACAGCATTGTCTTGGTTGGCAAAGTTTGGAACACATCGTGAGGACAGGGACGTGCTCGGAAGGCATGTGAGCGCTATTGAAGGCGCCGGGCCTTTGTACTCCAGAGATCTCATCTCGTCTCCCTTGAGGCAGCTTGACAAAGTCATCATGCTCATTCGAGATGGGAAGTTCAGGCCGGATGCAGGAAGGTCTGGAATGATTGTAGTCGATGCAGACAATGATCACGTGCTGGTCCTAAGCAGTGACGATGAGCAGCCTTCAAAGAAGGCCAAGTCAGGACCAATCGAGGTGAAGGACGAGCCAGACTGGACAGAAGTTTTCAACCAGTGGGATTGGGAAGAGCTGTCCAAAAGTTCTAGCTCTTCTGACACTGAATCATCTGGCGACGAAGCAATTGCTTTGAACTCCAGCTCCATGACCCAGGTTGCTGATGTGATGTCGGAGGGCCTTGAAGCGTATCGCCATCGAACCTCCCGACTTGTCCATGCATGTGAATCCACGTTTTATGAAGGGCTTGGTTACCGCTACACCCGTTGCGGTAGGAAGGTTTCACAGAATTTTGAGAAGCTTGATGAGTGTCCAAAAGCTTGCGTGACATGCTCTCACTGTTTCAGGAAGTAGAGATCGACTTGGAGCTCACGACTGTCACCGCCCCGAAAAAAAAAAGCATCTGAATGCTTTTGAGTTTGTTTCAAGAAACGTAAAAACGAGAGTGTGTGGGCATGTTCAAAGGTGCACTCTTTTGCTTGCAACTGGATTTCATTTGTATTGCTGACCGACTCCTGGAGAGTCTTGAATGAGCCTGAAGCTCAATAGGCCCCTGAAGTGCCGCTTGATTTCCGGTTGAGAGCTTCCTGACGAAGCATGAATGGCTCCAGCCCTGATGGCATGGAGAGACAGGGTTTGTTCAGCTTAATGGAACCAAGCTTTATTTGTTCTGTTGTTTGACGGCTGCGATCTTTTCCTTTTCACTTGTTTTCTTTGAGGGACGCTGAACTTTTGACAGCTTGTTTTGTTTTAACGAAACGTGTGACAGGAATTTTTGACTTTGTGAACCACTTAGGTGGACAGACTGAGCCATGTCCCTCCTCATTGATTGTAAGGTGCAGTTTGAGACAAGGGCTGTAGAAGTTGGCTTAGGAAGGCCTCTGATCACTGCCTTAACCGGTCAGGGACCCGACACTCTTTCCAAATTGGCATACTGGATCGGGCAGCCGGGGGTCCCTCTGGACGATGACAAGTTTGATCGAGCCGTTCAGGCATTGACTGGATCCGCGCCCTCGATAGGAGATGCAGCATCCCTGAAAAGGCTCCTCTTCGAGGCGCAGGCGTTGACAATTCAGTCTTTGAAGAACACAGTCGAGGCCCCAGGGACTGAGAGCTCAACGCCGAAAAGAATTCCCATCGCAGAGGGGGAATCTAGATTGGCAGCGCTTCGAACTCGAATCACTGGCTTGATTATTGAAGGAGTGAATGAACCAGCCGTTAGCCTTTTCGAGCAGACACAGCATCAGTATGAGCAGAAGACCATTAAATATTTACCTCCTGAGAAGTGCCCATCACGAGAATTCGAGATAGTCCAGATGAAGCCAGTGAAGCAGTTGGTCGTGCATGGGGGAAACGTTGTTGTAGGGGAGACCTTGTCCATGCCCGACACCACGGTCAATTCATCCTTACTTGTCCAGCAAGCATTCATTAGGCGTGCCTTGGCATATGATTTTTCGGACCTGATCAGCTTCAGTGTTTCTCAGCGTTACATCGACACCCTTTTCAGGCACATGACCCGTGAGGCCCCACCAGGGTATCGTCAAGTCACCCTGTGCCAAGTGATCCAGGCCGACAAGGCCGTCTTCGCAAAGTTGGCCGAATTGGGGTCGGGGATAAGGAGAAATGCTGCTGGGAATAGGCCCTTGGACGCCAGAATCATGGAAGCCTTACAGTCCTACGAGGTTTCATTCCATCTATTTCCACTTGCTATCCCTGAAAGGCCATTGAAGCAGGATTGGAAAGAGTCTCCATATTGGCGCAACCAAGCCGAAGGAGACAAAGGAGGCAAAGGAGATCATGACAAAGGCAAAGGCAAAGGAAAGCACAAGTCCAAAGGAAAGCGAACGGAGCATTTTGCCACATGGATGCCACCAGGTTTGAAAGGAGGAAAACCCTCCGACAAGGATGGGAAGCCGATCTGTTTCAATTACAATCTGAACAATTGCAATGCAGCAGAGCCAGGTGGTGAGTGTCCCAGGGGCCGTCACATTTGTTGCAAGTGTTTTGAGGTGCATCCGTACGCTGACGTGCACAAGCAGGACGCGGGCAGCGCCGTGAAGGCAAACTGACTAACGCGTTTGGCCGATTTGCATGCTAAGCCATTGAACGATGCGCTTATAATTGAGATCTTTGCCGGCTCAGCTGGAGTGGCCTAGAGTCTTCATTTGGGATCGACAAATCTCGTGCAAAATTCAGCAAGGCACCTGTCATAGAACTTGATCTCGAGACGCCTGAAGGCGTACGCTTGGTGATGGAGTTCTTGGCCTCCCCACGGGTTGTAGGAGTCTGGATGGCTCCGCCGTGTGGCACATGCTCTCGAGCCCGGGAGATTGACAACGGGGGGCCCCAGCCCCTCCGCTCCGATCACTGGCCCGACGGGCTTCCGAACTTGGGGCAGGCCGATCGTGCCAGAGTCTTTTCGGCTAATAAGCTGTACACACTCACTGCAAAAATTGCAGACTACTGTTTTTCGAACGGGTTGCTCTTAGTGATCGAAAATCCCGCTCGGAGCATTTTTGGCTGACCACATGTCTTGTTTGCCACATTTGTATTTTCAGTGTCATGTTGCCTGCGCGTACGGAAGTAAGAGACCGAAGAGAACCATGTTGGCTTTCAACCACCCGGCATTCATGCAGATACGCCTCGGTTGCCCGGGAGTTCGACCGGGCCAGCATGTTCATGCGATATGGGGCAAACAGTATGTGAACAACCGCCTCATCTTTGCAACCCATGAAGAAAAAGAGTATCCTCAGGGTCTTTGCTCTGCTGTGGCGCAAGTGTTTCTGCAGATTTGTCAGGAGTATGGTCTCCTTTTGCCACCAACCTCCATGGAAGTGGCCGCAACCGAACAATACCTTCTTGTTCAACAGGCCAAGGTTGTGTCTCACGCTTTTGCAAGGACCAAGCTTCCACCCTTGGTGTCTGAGTACGCAAGAGTGATCACGGCGCGGCGCCGTAACCTCAGTACCCTTTAAGCAATACACACCTTTGGCCATTCCCGCAGTTGATGAACACCATTGTGCTCTTGAAATACCCCCCCTTCTCACGCCTTTTGCAACGCCCTCTCCTCAAAAGGGGAGATGCTGGGGAGACCGTTGCCGAAGTTGCAGAAAGTTGCAGGCATGTCTGGGGGGTGCACTGGTCCGACACAGATTTCATGCTTGAAGCTGCAAGGCTTGGTCACCCCAAGTCTTTCCTTAATGCCCTGCCCGCAGAATTGAGAGACGCAGTGGACCGCAATGTTGACTTGCGTCCGCGTGATCTTGCTTTGAGTAGGGTAAATTGGTTCAAGTTTTGGATTCGCAGGGCCGGTGAACTAAATGCAGCCGAGCTTGAGCTTCACAAGGGTTTCGACAATGATGCAAAGAAGGTCATGGCAGGCAAGCGCATCCTTTTGTTTCAAGAGATCCTCGAATCCATAGGGTACCATGATGCAGAAGCAGCCAACCTCCTCGTCGAAGGAGTGCCACTGGTAGGAGCAGTGCCGGAGTCTGGAGTCTATCCCAAAGTTTTTAGGGTGGCGGAGCTCAGTGTCGAAACTTTGAAAGAGCAAGCGCACTGGTTCCGCCGGGGGATTCTTGAGAGGACTCGGTCATCAGGTGATGAGGCTTGCGATGCTTTTGTGTGGCAGGAGACTTTGAAGGAGGTAGAGAGGGGCTGGCTCAAAGGCCCCTTTTCCGAAGAGAGCTTGCCCGAAAGCGCTTCGATATCCCGCAGGTTTGGCATTTGGCAAAAATCTAAGTATAGGTGCATTGACGACTATAGTGCTTCTCTGGTAAACAGTACTTGCACGGTCTTAGAGAGTCCCTTGTTGCATTCAGTTGATGTTTCCGCCGCCCTGATCGATCATTGGGTGCATCGCCTAGAGGGTCAGGCAACCCAAGGTCTTTTGGCAAGGAGCTTTGACTTGAAGAGTGCATACAGACAATTGCATTTGAAGAGTGAGCACAGAAGTCAGGCCTTCAGAGTGTTTACGCTTTCCTTCGGGTGGCCAGAGCAATATGGTACATCGCCGTGAAGTGCTTGTCAATTTGTTGGACAAATTTCTTCGACGATTTCCTCGCATATTCAGGTATTGAATTAGCCTCTTCGACGCAAGACGCCGTAGACCTGCTCTTTCGTTTGCTTGGATGGAGAGTAGCCGAGGACAAAGGAGCCCCTTTTTCCAGCACTTTCTCTTGCCTAGGTGTGTCCATTTGTTTGGAGGGTTTCTCGTCTGGAGCCATCACGATTTCGAACACACTTGAACGCAAGGAGGAATTGGCAAACACCATTAGACAGATTCTAGAAGTAGGCAAACTCAGTGCTTCTCATGCTCAGAGCCTCAGGGGACGCATGCAGTTTGCTGAAAACCTATTCATGGGAAGGATGGCGCGTAGGGCTTTGGCAGCAGTCACTGAGCATTCAGTCTTGAGGCGATCCGATGTGTCCTTTGCCTTACGATGCCACTTAGAGGACTTTCTTAATGATCTTCTAGTTGGAAGGGCAAGAACTTTGAGAGTTTGCACGCGTGACACACTCTTTCTCTTCACCGACGCCTGCTTTGAACCCGATAAGCCCAAGCCGGTTGGAATTGGTTGTGTCTTGGTTAGCCCCGAAGGTGTTCCTCTTTGAGTTCATTTCAGGTTCCCCAACGCAAGCTGTTTGTGAGTTCTTAGGACAAGGTGTAAAGAAGACCATTATCTTTGAAGCCGAGATGTATGCTCTTTTGGTAGGTCTTAGAGCTTGGAGCCACAGATTGTCATCTCGTCAACTGGTCGTTTACGTAGATAACGACGCGGTAAGGGGTGCAATTGCAAATTCCTACGAGAAGCTAGGTGCAGTTGGAGTGATGCTCGACTGCATAAATAGTCTCGAAGCTTGTCACCAGTTCTTGATGTGGATAGCAAGGGCGCCGTCGAAGTCGAATGTAGCAGACGGACCTTCTCGAGACGAGACCAGAGCCTTGACTGAGATCGGCGCCGTGCGTATTGACTTTCCACTTGACCTCGCGCCTTTTCGTGGGCTTCCTGAAGTGGGGGAGGACGTTGAGCCCCGCTGAAAAAGGAGCGCTTCAGTTGCACACAAGTTGAAAGAAATAA